AGGCAGTCATTGACTGTAAAGGATTTGCAACCAAGTATTAAAACTGACTGTTTAATTGATGATTATGTTAGTTTGTCCAAATACTTATGAGCCCTTAAAGTTTGGGGACTGTGTGAAGAAATGGTTGTCATTCCTACACGGTTCATACTACATTTTTGAAAAAAGCCTTAAATGAAAGCTGAGAGTCTGCACTTTAAGCAGGTATTCATTGTTTCATTTAAAACCCATTGTGATGGTGTACAGAGCCAAAATGACGACAACTGTATCATTGTCCAAATAATTATGGACCTGACTGTATATTTAATCCGACTCACCAGATGTAGACTGTGGCTATAAACCTGCCATTGGCCGGCTGTTTAGGCTTGCCTTCCCCAGCTATCTGTGTGTTACTATCTTCAAAATCTCCTTCACTATGGGAAACAACAGCAATAACGTCCAAGCTAACAACTTAGACGCTGAGAATAGCAACTTATGATGAAGATTATGATTGTGCAATAAGCCATGCCTGCTTTGTTTCCTCTGTGAATTGTTATAAAGATCTACAATGAATAATGCGACTTCTGAAAGCACCTCAGAAAAGCCTCAACTCTGTCTCGCAGGACTCTCATGTCTGATCTGTTTTGTGACATGGCCAGTCGGAGTTGATTTGCCTTGTCTTTTTACTCTGGCAGAGGCATGTGCCAGTGACATTGACTGCCCCGTTCCACTTCACATGAGCTCCTGTGATATCTTGTAATAATGTTCTGGAAGAGTTGTGCTTTAAATAGGTCCTGTGAGCTCCCCTAGAGCAAAAGTATTGTCATGCTTCACTTCAAGATCATCGATTATTAAAATAGGTTTGTTTTTATCAGTAGAGGTTGAATCATACACTCGACATCTGTTACTGTTTTTTTGTGGAGTTCTGCCATTCTAATGACAGCATTCACCCCCCCACATTGAAACGTTCCACCAAAACTATTCCCATCTGATGCTATTTTGCAAGGGCACGATCACTGCCTCCTGGGCTTAGCGCCGCCCAAGATGACTGTGATTAGCTTAAAGAAATACAAACAACCTGGGGTGTTTTTTCCCCCTATAGCAGAATGATAATGTGTGCTTCTAGACCTGCTGACACAGTGCTGTGTGGATAGATCTGACTGCATGAGACTTGCTTCATTTATTTTCAGAGATGTTATATTAAAAGACTTGAGATAAAGCTAGCTCGACAGCTTGGAGCTTGAGGAGAGGAGCCTCAAACCAAGACATCAGGACTGTTTTACACACAGAATATCTCCAGCTACATGAACAAAACTCTGTCTTTAAACTGGAGTATAAAACTAACCAGGTGTCCAAGTAACTGACCCTCAAACAGCAGAGCTCACATGTTGTAATTGAACAATCTTTCCTTTGGTTTTACAGCAACTTTGCCTGTTATGAGAGGGAAAGAATCAGGGCTGCTTGTGCAGGGGAAGTGAGTATCTGTCATCGAGAGCTCCATGTCACAAAAAATACAGAAATACAGAAAGCCTTCTAGGGTGGGAGCAAATCTGTCTGGGTGGCTCGCCCAAAAAAAAACAAAAACCCTCCATGTATGAAAAACACTAATGTTGCTTCCCAACCGAGCCTGAATTTAGTGACTGTTCCCCTTTTTCACCATAACATTTTTCTACTTCCTCGTGTGTCTGTTCTGTCGTCACCCTGCCTCCCGCTGACTGAGGTACACAGGATGTTTACTTTCTTTCCGCCTCAAGGAAAGTCTTAGTACTCCTGACCTAGTTTTCTGTGTGCAGTGTAGAGCAGTGAGGAAAGAATGAATGTAGAACTAACAAGTGGAGGTGGAGGAAAAACAGACCCCCAGTGTATGAGATCCAGGGGAGGATCAGGTCAAAATGAACTGAAAAGCTCTTTCTGGCTCAAACTGCAGGCTAAAAATGGAGGATTTTTTTTCCTCTGTCCAGTGAAAACATTACATTTACATAATTCAAACCTTTTTGTGTCGATGTGAGTTACAGAGTTCTGCATGAAATAAAAACAGGAATATTAATAATGAAGGTCAGCAGCAATATGCACTTATATACTTCTAATGTAAAAGTGTGGCTAATGGATATTTGCGTTAACAGAACTCAAAACTCAGACTATATATTTTATTGGGGGCCTTCAGTGCACTTTTCATTAAAACTAAAGCAGCAAAATAAAAGTACTCATCCACCATCTACACCTTCCCCTCCTTGTATCCTCTTCATCCCCTCCTTCCCTGATCTGCTCACTGTCTCACCATCTTCCCTGTCCCTTGTTACCTGCTTTGAATTGCTGATGTGCCCAAGCAGCATGCTTCACGTCTACTTAAACGACTTCTCCATCAACTGACACCTCTTGTGTCACGCAATTACAGCATGTTAAATTTCACACCTGCAGTAAAGCGTTGAGAGACGTGAATGCAATAAAATTCTTGCCAAAGAGCATCCATGGATAAAAAACTCAGTGCTCAGCTAACTCAGACAATAATTATTCCAAACTGAAGTATGACACTCGTGCCAGTTAATATTTCACATCCACAGGCTAAAATATTAAACACTTGGAAATGAAGCATCTTAAATAGCACACAGAAAGCAAATTATGGCCTAAGTATTGAGCTTAAGTCTGGTTGGAAAGCCCTTATCTTTCCGAGCATTTCTTTAGTTTTGTTATCAGACTTGGGTCATTTTCATCTGTGGCTCCAGCTCTGATCCCTCACAATAAACTGAATTCATTCATTTTTTTTGTAACAACACGCTCTACTCCTCAGGCTGACCTTTGGCACCCACACATCTCCATGCACAAAAGTTCCAGCAATAGCCTCTAATACAAACACAGCGGTGCCTTAGAAAGTCCGCACCATCTAACTCACATCCCCCTCAGCAGACCAACTGTCCTTCAACCTCTACAGTAATAGTCTTTGATGAAAGTCCCTCTCCCACTGGAGAAACCTGCTAACACCCACAACCGTCTGGCTTTTGCATTTAAAAGAAAAGGATGCAATCAGCATTCATTCCCAGGACTAATGAGTCTGCAATAGTCATTGGCATCTATCGGCTCTAGCTTTGACTGGCTTCTATTGGCATTCATAGAAATACCCAGGTGGATGTGCTGATTTTAGCCCCTTACCGGCCCGATGCAATGACATGCAACAAAATAGCATCTGTCTGTGGCCAAGCAGCGCTCTGACATTGTTCAAAAATCATCGGCACCGAGTTTGAGCAGATATAAAAAAGAAAAATAAATAACCACCGTAACATTTTCACTGGCATACTGGCATATTGGTGAAAAAGGGTATTACATCACTGTCTCACTGAAACTGAGTTGTAGGATTTAGTTTATAAGTCACACCTGGGCCTCACGTCCTGTGTGTGCAGCACATGATGGCCACCTTACTGAACTGCTGCAGCTCGGATGTGTGCAGTCTTCACACAGATAGTGTTGCAGAGCTACCTGCTGCTTTGAGTACTGTATTTCCACAATTAATGGCTGGTACTCCACTAACTTATGGAGCCGTGTGAGCCACTGCACTGTCAACAACAAGGCCCTGCAAACTTGTCATGATAAAAAACCTTGTGTTCACAAATGAAAGGATTCTGGGCACCCAGTGGCTGAGTGGTTAGAACAGGTGTCCCATATCCTCCTGAGACCCTGTGTCCTCATATGAGGACATCACATTTTGGGTTTACATGACCTTATACTTCATTCTGCTTAACTTAGACCGGTTGTCCTCGTTTGTGGACACTTTTGTGCCATCTAGTGGTAGGAAGAGCACAATACACTAATCCATGTAAAAACAAGATAGTAGCCGTCTTTGCCAAGTGGACAAGGTCCAAAACCAGATCACATTTTATGGTTGAAACTTGTTTATGTATGATCAGTAATGTTTGTTTTTTTGATATGGCAACAAATTTGACCAACTTTAGCAACAGTAACAAGCTAAGACGCCGGTAATTAGTAGGTACTCGTTTGAAGACATTGGGACTAGTATTTTTATACTTATCAGATCCTACTGATCCCAAATAGCTAGGAGAAATTAAAGATGCATACCAAACAAAAGTTCTGGTCTCAGGAGGATATGTGAAGGCAGCGTCCTTGTCGCCATGGTTCAAATCGACCCTGCGGCCCTTTGCTGCATGTCATCTCCCCCTCTCACGCTTCGACTGTCCCATCTAATAAAGGCAAAAAGCCAAAAAAAAAATAATTAAAAAAAAAAGAATGTAAATGAATGTTGTAAGAGGGCATTTAGTTTGCAACAGAAGCAGGAAATGTTGACTAAAAAATAAATATAATGTCTGTGACAAATGTTAACATTGAAACTGTAGTGAAAGGTGATATGATGCCAGTATAATTATCAAAAGACCACTATCCCTGTTTGTTTTTGCTGAAAACTGTGCCCCTCACACAGAAAAAAAAGGTGAGACTCTGAATCTCTAGATGTTCTGCAGCTGAGCAGCAGCTTGCTCCCGTTTTAACCTATTAACACAGGCATGGAAAAAAATACAAGCGGCTCAGTGACACACACACGTGCTGCTCACGTGGGTGATGTGGCGCGGGTGTCACTCTCATTTCACAGATTTGGCAAAGTGTAAATTCATGCGTCTATATGATGTAATTGTGTCAAAGTTAATGATACATTATAGTTTTTTATGAGTATTAAACTAATTAAAAAACTTAATTATGTGGGGAAAAATGCATTATATTAACTTGTCAATGGTTGATTGCTTCTGGAGACACACTGTTTTCTCTGCACAGTGTGGGGCTTAGTATGCAGACAGAGTCAGAGGAGATGATATTCTTTGTGGCAAATGGCCAAATATGATTGTATTTTTATGGACAGGCTTTTTAAGTCTCTTCAAGTCATTCAAATCGACAATTGTAACTGTGCCACTTTGTTAATTCTACTTTATGTTTAGATATCGATTTGTGACTGTACCTTTTTGTCTCTGCAGCTACTGGGACATGGCGTACGATGGTGATGTCATGGACAACAGAGTCGGCCTGAATTTGCTGTACGCCCAGGTATGAGGTTTCATGTTGCTTATTCTCAGCGTCAACAGTTAAACTCAAGATGTGGAACTAAAACCGAAATCCAAATTAGACGTGATTGGGTTTGTTTACATCTTGCATCTGTTGTGTTCTGTCGAGCTGTGCCAGAAAACAAAATCAAGCACCACTTCTCCATTCCTGAGCTGCCACATGCTCTTGTCCATCCCCAGGGCCCCTCCATTATCTGATTGCGATGTCAGCTTGTTTTGACTTTGCAGCACCTTGAATCCTGTGTGCTCCCCTCTGATCCTATTAATAGCGGATTCCCTTTGCTGCGACAACTGTGATCTATTGTATTAAGCATTTTTGGGGGCTGAAAGTTTGATTAAAATCTGGAACTGCTGAGTGTTGCCTCTGTGTAGCAGAGAGGAGGTTTAAAAAAAATAGGAAATCGAAAAAAATAAAAGCTGTTTGCAAGCATGTTTCTGTGTAATTGTTTGCTGACCTGCGCTGTTTACATGAAAGGCTCAGGGTGTGATTTATTCCACATGTAACAAAGGAAACACAAAACCCTGCTTTGTTTTGTGCACCTGTGCAGAAAGATTAACCTCAGTTGTTGTTTTTGCTTCACCAGACAGTGTCTGACATTGAGCGAGGCTGGATACTCGTCAACAAAGACCAGCACAGGCAGCTCAAATCACTGCAGGAGAAAGGCTCCAAGAAAGAAGTAAGCAAAGGGCACCTCTTCTGGATGCTTCTTCCTCCACAGTGACTCACTTGAGTCCAGCTGAGACTCTGAAATGTCTTTGTCCAAGGATAAATCTGTAGACCGTAGAGAATGCTGCCTCTGGTGCATTCTGTGATGCAATTAGCCTAGTTTTTCCCCTGATATGAATTTTTAATTACACCAATCCAGTGGAGAATTCAAACTCATTTTCTCCAGGGATTAGACAGACAGAATTTATGGAAAAGTTAGTCATCTAAAACTGTTTTTGCATATTTTCCCCTCAGTTCATCCATCTAGGTCAGACTCTCAAATATTACGGCTATATCAAGTTTGACCCTTGCATCACCGACTTCCCCGAGAAGGGCTGCCAAGTCATTGTCAGCGCCGGCAACAACGAGCTCAACTTCCACGTCAAGCTGCCCAACGAACAGATGAAGGAGGGGAGCTTCAAGGTCACGCGCATGAGGTGTTGGCGAGTCACGTCTTCTGTAAGTTGAGCTGTGTGTGTCAGTGTGTGACAGAGTGAGGATGAGTGTATTCACCTTCAAGCACGCCTGTATCTCTGAAACCCGTGAAATAATCAAATTGGAATCGCTCCATATTATCAAGAGGCCACGAGCTGGCAGAGTAGAGACGCAGCAGCTTTGGCAAGAGTTCGTCACAATCCCAAAGTTGCCTGTTTACAAACTCCCTCTCACCACTGCACCAGAAACAAATGTCTCAAGTCTTGCCAAGCATTCGTTTTTACTCCTACTGTTCTGTGAAAGTGCTGACCTCCGCACCATTCATCTTCATCAGTCCAATTACCCAAACACGCAGCCCACACAAGGATACTGCGTTATTGATCCTGCAGCCTCACACATAGAGCAGCATCCTTTATTCGGACTGATAATAGCCTATCGGCGAGAAGGGAATCTGATGGCATGCAGTGCGAGGAAGCACCCACACAGCTCACTCTCTATACATCCGCACAGCGCCACTAACATCGTCAGGAAACTTTCAAGGAGAGCAGAGAAAGAGTAAAGGTGCTGTTTTCACAAAGCAAAGGCCGTATGTTCAACACGTTAAGCGACTGTTTACGCTGTCACCAAATGATTAGTAAACATGACGTGTTGTCAGGATCTGTCAGACTCGGCTCAGCAGATGACAGTGATTGATGAACTAGGTCAACACGTCGCAGGTTTGATTCACAGTAATTAATCAATACAGTGTGTTGCATTGTTATTGGGATTTTTTTTTTTTTTTTCCCTCAAGGAAATGTTGGAGGCAGGACACAGTCAGCTGGGCATTTCTCACCACACAGAAGAGCAAAAACAGCGCCCCTGCCAAAGTGATGAGATTTTACATGAATGGAAAACAATAGAATGTGGAGCAAGAAATGAATTAACAAAATTACTGTCAAAGGGACACCACAGGGAGGTCTGTTTGGCTTAATTTTGTTAATTTTCAATAGGCTGACACTCATTAATCAGTAACTAACCGGTTCGTTATTAAGGAAAAAAAGATGTAAAATACAAGAAGCCTTTCCTTCTAGTCCGGCACTCCACTGCCTCAGTGAGCTTCAGTGCTGCAGTTCAAAGCCCCATCCATTTAAAGGTGGTGAAATTTTAATGTTTTGTGATTGGCTTTGCTTACAGACAGCCAGCCAGCTGTGTTAATTTGTGGAAATATAGTGCACACTGCCCAGCCTTCAGTCTCCACTTATGATGGGATTTCTTGTTCACTTCTGAGAGACGACTCTTTGGCTCTCATTCACTTTGAAGAGCCGGTTCAAAGGTGCGGTTCGTTCGTTCGTTTGTTTTTTTTTTGTTTGTTTGTTTTTTTGCTCTGTGTGTTTTTTTGGGGGGGTGTTAGTGGGTTCAACGGCGAATCGCATTGCTGATTTATCACATCACATGATCTGGATATTGTAACGTGGACCCAGAATAGACTCTGCAGATATAAAGTTTGGTGTAGCCATAGCAATGCCCTTTATAAACAACAAGCCTGTCAATACAAGCAAGTGCTAGCGGATTAGTGATGTGACGTTCGCAAACGAGCCGAGTCTTTGAACCAGCTCTTTTGAAGTGAACGAGTGAGCAGCTGCACTGTCTTTCTCCCTCACAAACTAGACTCTCTCAACTTGTTACGGATCAAATAATCTGAAATTAATGGATACAGAGTAAATTAAAACAAAAAAACAAAGAAATTAGGAACTGGCTCGTTCACTCTAAAGAGCCGGTTCACTCGTTCACTTCAAACAGCCGGTTCAAAGTCTCGGCTCGTTTGCGAATGTCACATCACTAGTCTCTACTAGTCCCTCGGCTGCTCTGCATTGCCCACCACCCAGGTCAGGAGGGAGCTAACGTTAGCTAGCTAGAGCCGCCACTTATTTATGGAACGCAGACAGGCTATTAATGTCAGTTCTACACTCATATTAATAAGTCAAATTTGTTTGTCGTAACGGGTAAAAATAAGAGGTCTTAACCAATGGCATGGAAGCTTTAATGCTCTGGACCTCTTAAGGCATAAATGTACTTTTTAACAGGACATCTATTGTCTTAATGTGCATTTGACATGTTAAGACATCATATTTTTACCTGTTAAGACAAACAATTTTGACATTTAGAGCCCTCATGTTCCATAGTTATTCCGCAATCAGCTGGTAACACCATCCTGGTGGTGGAACGTGTTGCTGCAGAAGTATTACGTGTACCCTCCGGTCTCCCCCCAGGTTGCTCTAGTGAGTAAGCAGCTTCATTTTCACTGCAAATTCCTTTTAGCACAGTTAACTATGCTAGCACCACTAGCTGTGCTGACATTGTTAAAGGTGGTAACAGAGCAAACAGTGATAACACAGTCAACAATGCTGAAAGGGGTTTTACTGCTCCAAATTGAGCCGCTCATTCACCAGAGCAAGATGGGGGCGATCAGGGGCTATTAGGTCAGGACAACATAACCCAGGTTGGGGGAGCCCTCCTGTGTGGAGTTTGCATGTTCTCCCTGTGTCAGCGTGGGTTTTCACCAGGTACTCCGGCTTCCTCACACAGTCCAAAGACATGCAGGTTAACTGGTGACTCTAAATTGTCCGTATGTGTGAATGTGAGCGTGAATGGTTGTCTGTCTCTATGTGTCAGCCCTGTGATAGTCTGGTGACCTGTCCGGGGAGTACCCTGCCTCTCGCCCAATGTCAGCTGGCTTAGGCTCCAGCCCCCCAGCGACCCTTTAGAGGATAAGCGGTTACGAAAAATGAATGAATGAAGCACCACCGCAGTCCTAGATAGCAAAGCAGTGTTAAATTAGCTGAGGTTACTTGTTTCACATTAGTTTTTTTTTTTCCAGAGTTCAAGTTTGGCAATGCTGTCGGAGCAGCTGAGAACTGCACGCGTTCCTCCCAAACTTCTAGACATCAGTGTCGAAAGTAACTACATAGAAAGTAAAATTACAAGTTGAAAATACTACACTTTTTAGGACAGCTTGCATTCAAATACAAAGGAGACGTCACAGCAGTTAAAGGGGCTTATTTACTTCAGGCACCTCCCTGGAAACTAGCAAATAAAGTCATGATTTTTCTGCTTCTGCTGCACAGATTCAAACCATTATGTTTTTAAATGTCTAAAAGTTTCCCAACTTTGTGGGAGTGCACGACTGAATCACTGGAGTTCCACTTTTTCAGATTGACAGTCTAACTTTAACTATTTTTGTTTACTTGAAACTGGAGCTGGCAAGAAATCCAGAGCAAAATCTTTGTCTAAAGAACAAAAAAAATCTCCATAATTGTCGCCCAGAATCAGCATAAATTTAAACAATCATGCACCACACAGTTGATCTATCTTGAATCAGCATTTTTTTTTCCTGTTTCCAGTCAGTCGTCTTGAAGAGAGACAGTTTCCTCTGAAAGCCTGAACAATCTATTTTCACTTCTGTGAATAGCTGAGAAAAGCATAACATGCAGCTCTGCCCACATCGTCTCAGCTAGGATTTGAAAGACAAACATTTTTAGATGCAAGACCTCATTTAAATGGCGATTGGGGAAAACAGTTCACTTTTGTATCGCATTAGTGTTCGAGCAGCACGGTCATTATGTGTATCACCAAGGCTTTTATGATTCTCCAAAAGTTAATTTGCACAGAGATGTAGACACATAGCAACACATCTAAAATTAAAATGCATGTTGGCTCGTCTGATTACAGGCTGAGCCCCCGCGCTGTCCAGCGGGGTGGCTAATTCCTGAGCTCATTCTCAGAGGTCAAAGTCATTTTAATGAGCTCTTTCCTTTCCAGCAAACTATTCAAAACATCTCATTTGGTGCAGCGCTGCAACCCCCTTCACAGTCGCATCTCAAATTGCATCCGGAAGAGCACGAATAAACAGTTGGCGTGTGTGTGTATGTGTGTGTCAGACCTTTGTTTTTGCATTTCGTCTTTATGTCATCTTTTGTGTGTGTGGTTAGCTTGGGAGGTACAGCTAGTTTCTGGCCCCAGAGGGAATCGTCTCGGTGAAGAGCACAGGCTCCATAAATGAGGAATGAGGGCTCGTCTCCAGGGAAGCCGTGTGTGTCTCTGAGTGTCGCATATTCTTGAAGGCTTTTGAAATTCTGCATTTGTACATATTTCTTCCTTTCTTTGCGCCCGTGTTAATCTTTTAGCATGTGTCATCTTAAGATTTGGCTGCCTGTCAGTGGTGATGCAGCAGCTTAAGAGTGGCAGCTTAACAAGAGGAGATGTAGGATAGGAAATGTGATTTAGCTGCTTACATGACCCTCCAGTCATGGAGGAGAATAGCAGGCTTATCCTCTACTTAAAAATGCAAGTTGGATGTTGGTTATGAAATATGGAAATTGGTTTCTTTTATGCACTTTAAACACAAGAGGAGATATTCAGCTTCAGTGTTGAGGGAGGAAAATAGAATAAATATTAATCGAAAGTAATTGATAAAAACAATTCATACAGTTTTGGTGACACCTGCCAAACACTTAATCGTAACTCTCAATCTTTTTGTCTCTACAGCAAGTCCCGATAGCCAACGGCACCACCAATCCCTGCAGCTCGTCCAAATGCGAGGTCAAACTGGAGCTGGCCTTCGAGTATCTGATGAGCAAGGACCGCCTCCAGTGGGTCACCATCACCAGTCAACAGGTAAGAAGTCACTGATGGGGTCGACGTGTGGGCAACAAGCATTCAGTTAAGTGGAGCATTAAATTCCTGCGATTAGTCGGGTCAGAGCATTTTGTTCCCACAATTTGTCTTCACTCAAACTACATTATGTGTTTTCAAAAAGAAGGATGTTAAGTAAAAGTGTGCTTGTGTTTTCAGGCCATCATGATGAGCATCTGCCTTCAGTCTATGGTGGACGAATTAATGGTGAAGAAATCGGGCGGCAGCATTAAGAAGGTTCGTGTAAAGAGATGTTTAATACTTCATAGCTGCACCAGCAACCCAACGCCTCGTTTCAGCATAGCTCCGTGTGCATGTTCAAGTCAACGGGAACTCTGTTCATTCCTGTGAGAATCTCAGTGATCCTAGAAGTGTTTGTGACACTCCTCCTTCAGTATTTTTTTCTTCAGTCCAGAATTTGCCTCAAGTACGTTGAAAAAATTGAATTTTGTGGCAGATTTTGGACACAAAATAAAACTGTATGGAAACTAGGCTTAAGGCAGAGTGTCCATGTAGTTTTTTGATGATGGTGAGCATCTTTTTTTAAAATCGTTCGAGGACAGAGTGTAAGCAGCCGCATGTATTTCCACCTTGATTTTGCGTCGCGGAGACTATCGTAATCTTTTGAGTGTTCATACCTGGCGACGTGTTTTGTCATCGGCAGTCTTGCCAACTGCGTTACGACCTGTGTGTGCACACCACAAGATTTCGCCAACAGAGCCCCAGATAACGCGGTGACATCACCAAACTATGTTTTTAACTTGGAGACGACACATCGCAAAGGCATGGATGTTCTTCTCCAGTGCTGAGTCAGATCTGCCTCCAGGGCCTGGGTCCAAACACATCACGTTCCCTGTGATGCTGTGGACGCCGCCATTGTTGTTGTGGCTTGCCGGCTTGGCTTGTCCTCCTCACATTTCTTCCGTCCTCCTGCATGCTGACGTGGGACGTATCCTGTCTCTCATTGGCTGATGCTCTTTGTGAGTCGTGTCAGACTTCTCCAGTTTTTTAGCATGCCAGATATCCAGTCCCAGTCACAGATGAGGGGGCGACTTGCTTGTGGGCTTGTTCACACATGAGGACTCATGCACCATGACACAGCTAAACCTGCTCAGTAAAGGCCTGAGGAACATGACAGGGATGTCAAGGTGTCAATCTGGCCTCTAAATTACCCAGATCCCAATCTGATCAAGCATCTGTGAGACGTGCCGTTCCCCCAGACATTCTTTGTCCATGCCTCTAAAGGTCAGAGCCACGTTCAGTCCACACTGGGGCATCAGGGCGATGGCAGCAGATCCCTTGAGTCCTGTGGGTTGTGAGGTTGGGCCTCAATGAATGGGACTTGTTGCGGCACATTCCCTAGATTCTTTATCTGATTTGGATCTGGGGAATTTGTATGCCATGTCATCGTCTTGAGCTCTTTGTCACGTTGCTCAGGCCATTCTCTTCTGCGGTGTGGCATGGTGCATTGTCCTGCGGGGGGGCACTGCCATGAGAGAGTGATTTGGTCTACAACCCAGGATCCAAAGGTTCCACAGCAGAACTTTGCACTGTAACAAGATGATCAATGTTTTTCACTTCACCTGTTAGTGGTTTAATGTTATGGCTGATTGGTGTACGACTATGAGTCAGTCATCAGGATATTGAAATCAACTCACCACTCTCCTCCTGTCGGCTCTGCTACCTCACTGGTCGAGGTCGAGGTGCTGGGATGAAGCGCTCCCCAGCGTCCTGTCGGCACTTCCCTGCCAAGGAAAATGACACACACACTTACTAATCAACAAAACGACCACATCCTTTTGAGTTATTAAAATAAAATTACCTTCAGGTTACAGAGCCAGCAAATGTTACAACATCTACTCTGAGCTTTGTTTCCTCCCAGCGTCTACAACAAGAAAAAGGATGTTCAATCCCAAATTTGATGTGACATTTTACAGTATAAATACACACAATATACATCTTTCTGAACATTAATTGGTTCCTTAGTGATTGTGGAGATAATAGGTCATCGGATTGCAGAGCTGAAATCACAACCTACATAAATACAAAACAAACCTTATAATTTACAGGATATTCATTGTCTTCTTCACTTCTGCTTCTCTCCCTTTGTCACCTTCCAGATGCTGAGGAAACGACACAACGGCTCCATCCACCGGTCAGACAGTCAGCAAGCTGTGAAATCTCCCCCTCTACTGGTGAGAAACGGGACAGCGTGCAGTAACTTTGAATTTAGTTTGGACTGTGTGCAGATTTCAGGATTGTTTGTTGTTGTTTTCTGCAGGACTCCCCTGACCCGAACCGTGAACAGATCGTCAAACTCTCAGTGAGTATATTTCTGACACATAGAGCCTGAAAAATAAAATGTTACTAAATCAGTCTCAGTCTAATAATAAGTATGATATTAATTATTCCTTTCAGACCAAGCTGAGCTCGGTGTCTCTCCGAGGGATCAGCGCCTCCAACTCAGCAAACGACATCAGCGGCAACGATTTCCACGGCAACTACGCCTTCGAAGGAATCGGCGACGACGACCTGTAACCTCTGACTCGCCCTCTTCCCCCCTCTTCATTCCACTGTCAGCGACTGGGACGACAAAGATTACGAGCTGAGCTGAGCCGAGCCGAGCGGGCCCCACACGCCTCCGATTCTGCAAGATTGTAGCTTCTTCCTGGAGAAATCGCTGCCTTAAGCTCTCATTTAATCTTTGACCGTGTCCTTTTTCTTTTAGACTCTTAAACGCTCATCTTGATTTGTATTTTAATCACAATCATCATAGTCGATTTAAAGTTCGTCCCTATGTTATTAAACTTGTGGCGACATACGGTAAATAGCATGTAAAGCTGCAGGTACGCAAATAGGGGATGCTTTTTATATCTTACCGACAAATTCCTTCTTCTGTTTCATTCTGTTACTGTTTAATGACAGTATATGTGAAGTTCTATAATGCAGTTAAATTCATGAGGTACAAAGTAAATTAATATATTATAAACTACATGAAGAAAACCTGCTCGATCCTGGATTCTTCCCCCGCGGTGGCTGCATGTTCCTTTCCGACATGAGAGCCAAATGTTTAGTTCGACCTGGCACTAGTGATACTATAGCAGGACTGGACACGGATAGTTGTCAAAGTGAGTCCAGTGAATGTGTTGGAATTGATCTCTAAACTGTAGACTATTCACAGCAACTGCTTACTTATATGAATAATAGATGTTTGGCTTGGCTATATACCAAAATGTCTTGTTTTTATACTGTTAGTGATCCTCTGTGTGTCATGCTACTCATGTGCCAAGTCAGTAAATGTCTCAGCAGGATACCAGTGGTGTTTTCAGCTTACATGTGAGGCACAGTCACTCATGCTGCCTTCAGAAATAGTCTGATGCCTTAAAGGGGAGCTCCGGTATTTTTAAACTTGGAACCTATTTTAACACGTTTTATTGTCTAACAACAGTTTTTGAAACTGATCAGTATTGAGAGAGCGCTGCAGCCGGCAGCCATGAAACAGGCTACAATGTAACCACTCGAGCAGGTGTGCGTCGTCAGATTACGTCTATTCAAAGTGCTTTTTTGCCACTGACAGGCTCAGGTTATCATTCTAATTGTCACAATATTACAGACCCTACAGAGGAATAAAATGTTCTTATGTACCTTTCACTTTTTGTGTCCAAGTCTTGCTGAAGGAGAGGTCTTGTGAAATCTCATGAGGTGACTTGTTGCAGAAAGAAAATGGTGGAAAGGAGTGCTGCCAATACTTGGCTGTGATGGAGCACAGAAAGCATACCTTACAATCAACTATGTCATGGCTAAATATTTAGCTGATTTCGACAGTGTGAGAAAGTCTGAGATTTTAGAACAAGACTTCCCTTCAGAGAAATGAAACATTTTCTGTACCTTTCGTTATATCTCGCTAAAAAGACGTCTCGTTGTGAAATCTCAAAGATCTTTTCAGGTTCGTGAAATCTGCTAAATATTCAGCCACAACACTGAAAATCTTTTAGATAAGAGTAAGATTCACTTTCTGTACTTTCATTTTCTGTAACCACTTATCCTGTTGGGGGTCGCGGGGGGGTGGAGCCTATCCCAGCTGACATTGGGCAAGAGGCAGGGTACACCCTGGACAGGTCACCAGACTATCACAGGGCTGACACAGAGACAGACAACCATTCACACTCACATTCACACCTACGGACAATTTAGAGTCACCAATTAACCTGCGTGTCTTTGGACTGTGGGAGGAAGCTGGAGTACCTGGAGAAAACCCACACTGACACAGGGAGACCACTGGTGCACAGAAGGGCTCCCCCACTTTGGGTTCAAACCAGAGGGCGGGAACCCTCTTGCTGCGAGGCGACAATGCTAACCATCATGCTGCCCTACTTTCTGCACTCAAACAACTATTACCAGCACTCCTGTCTAACTCTCACTCACACTTCCATGGTTTTCCTCTTGCAACAAGTCACCTCTCGTGAGATTTCAAAACGAGACCTCTCGTTCGCGAGACTTGGACACAAACCAGACCAGAGCAAGAGAAAGATACAGAAAGACCTTCATTTCTTTGTAGGGTCCTTCATGTATTGTTGTTAGACACTCATAAAAACAATCTGAGCGTGTTAGTGCCAAAAAACAAGCACTTTTTAAAACTTTAATTTATTCAAATGTTCTCAAGAGGCAAGCGTACAAAACATAACATCACAAAACTGGTTGATAAAAGGCAAAAAAACAGGCACTGCACTTACATAATAAGAGACAATATGGTGAGGTTAGATGATAATTATCGTGTACATTGTTCAACTTTATACCCAGTGTCCCCAGTTCAGACATTTGTCCACAGTTTTTAGATCCAGATTATATTTAGGTAACGCAGATTCCAACGGTTTCTTCCATTTCTGTAGATAACGAATCCTTACATCAATCTAATTTATTCCAGAGTCACAACCTAAAGGGATCAGAGATTTCCACATAGAAATAGGAGGGTCCTCCCTGACCCACTTAACCATGATGGCTCTCCTCACTAGCATTATAAAAGATGGAACCACTTCCTCTTGTCAAAGAGTCAGAGACAATAACATGCAGACATAAAAGAAGATTTGCTGACAAATGTCTCACAGAATAACTGAATTTTGTGCAGCCTACATGAGTTTTAATGGACGTAGATTGACGAGTGGTTACATTGCAGCATATTTTGTCGCTGCAGGCTTCAGCGCTCTCACTCTGCACTGCGCCGATGTAAAAAATTGTTCTCATGACTCAGTCCGACACAAAAACCTGTGAAAATAGGATCCAGGTTGAAAAACACCAGAGTTCCACTTTAACTTTTCCTTTTTGGCCTCGTGGGTTAACTCGTCATTGAACACAGCATTGGTTGAAGCTTCAGATAAACGGTGGCGTCAGCCGGTGTTCCCTAGAATCTTGCAGAACTTGATCGATGGTCGATTTGGCCGAGCTGCTTGCACTTGCTGAACCCATCATATTTGCACAGTATTAACAGGTGGAGGTGAATGTTTGAGTGGAAGCTTGAGCATGACTTTAAAACATTGTGTGGAGATTTTGTTTTTCTTCCCAAGGGGGCTCTGTAAATCCATCTATGATTTTTATTTTTTATTTTTAAACCAATTTTTTAAAGGTTTCTCATAAATGCCAAATTATAGTTTACTAAAGCATTTTGCACAAAATAAACACAAAAATTATGAAAATGTCACTTTTTATATTATGTACATGCAATTAAGTATTCTGAACATTTACTAATATCTTTATCATCCATAGCTTATTGTAATCAAATAGATCAAATGTAATCTAAGCTGTATAGAACAAAGTTTAAATGGACTAACATTTATCATTGTTTACATAATGTTTAGGGGACTTTTAGTTAAATGTAAAGTGTTTACAAATTCTACATCTGATTTTCTTTGTCTTGTGCTTTTATTATTTTAGGCGAGTGACGGTGTTGTGGGGCACATTGTGTTAGAGGGCTTCAGTTCATTGTCATTTGTACGTACATTGTGCCAATCATCTCAGAGGATTTAGCCGAGAAGGTGGCTGATGTGATCACGACTGCTGGAGTGAACAAAGTTTCTAGAGCGCAGGCAACAAAATGAACATATCCCACTGTTTTTATAAGAACTGTCATTCCAATTTTTATTGCTGTCAGCGTCTGTTGAGCTGCGTCTCGAAGCCTCTAAATGTAAATCGATGCCAACCTATCAACAGCTTTACTCTCACTGGTAGCCAGAACTGTAAACGAAATGTTCTCAATATAAATGTCTCGTTCTTTCACTGCTGTGCTTTCTCCTGTCTTCAGTTGCATTCACAGTGCGGTGGGGGGGATTCAGACGCCACTATTCGTTTTTATTTTCTTGATTCCTGTCGATACACAGAAGCTGCAAAGGTCCTGGATGTTAATAAATGTGTAGGTGCCAAATTGAAGTGCATTTATCATCAGCATCACTTTTACAGAAAATGTCAGATTTCATGATAATTGTATTGACTTGATTCATTCCACTACTTTTATTTTGAGTTTAGTGGTGAGGTCAGTGACAACTGTCATGATGCTAAAATAAACTCTGAAATTAGGTGATGTGTGAGTCTCTGTTGTCTTATTGTGCTCTCATCATTACTGTGTATCCATTAGCAGCAGCAGCAGCAGGTTTGGTTTCAGACACATAACAAGCCAAGAATCTTAATTATTATAGAGCAACAACGTGACATGAATCTGCACATTACAACAATTTAAAAATAATTTTAAGTTCCTGTAGAAGTCTGACCTCATGAAGGTATTTTGCACTGAGCATAAAGTGCTTTGATTCTTTATTTATAGCCTAACGGATAGTTATTATTCAGTTATTACAGAAGCACAACACAAACAATAAGGTATTGTACACTGGAAAATTAAAATGTATCAGTGCCCTCTGATGGATGAGCTGTGTAACTGCATCACAGGTTGGAAATTACCAATTTACTGAAATCTTATTTTTGACAGACGCATCTATCGATATTTCTTTATCTCTTCCGAGACAATAACAGCTGATTTATCGGCCTGAACAATATATCAGTCGAGCTCTACATGCCTCATTTCTTCTACAATATTATGTTCACAGTCACTACTGTGTGAATCTACAGCTGGATATATTTTTTGATAAATCAATATCGGCAGATGCGTCTGTCGAAAAATGAACCTGACCGATATATGTGTCAGGCCGATAAATCAGCTATTTTCTAAGCACAAATAAATCTGTATCAGTAGATACGTCTGTCGAAAATCCAAGAACCTGACTGACATATGGGTCAAGCCGATAAAGCAATGTGTCAGTGCCCTCTGATGGACAAACTATGTAACTGCATCACAGTCAAGTCAGATACTATTTTGTTTTTTCTTTACTGACATCTCTTTTTGAAAAACACATCTGCCGATATTGATTTATCCCCGTCGAGACAATAGCGGCTGATTTATCGACCTGAACAACATATCAGTCGAGCTCTACGTGCCTCAATTGATCTGCAATATTATAGCCATGGTCACTACTGTATGACTCTACAACTGGATGATATTTTCTTAACACATAAATCAGTATCAGCAGATGCGACTGATATTTGGGTCAAGCCAATAAATCTACTGTTTTCTTGGCACAGATAAATCAATATTGGCAGATACGTCTGTCAAAAAAAACAAGAACCTGACTGATATATGGGTCAGGCTGATACATCGGTTATCTTCTTCGCACTGATAAATCAGTATCCGCAGATGCATCTGTTAATAAAAGGAAGAATGCGACTGATAAACTGTTGAGGCCGATAAATCGACTTATATTTTCTTGGCATTGATAAATCAATATCGGCAGATACGTCTATCTTCCGTGGGGAAAAACCAAAGTTACATTTGAGGTAATTTAATAAACTGATGCAGCAGTGTGAGGCTTTTGGCACAGTTTAACCTAACTGCTAACATTAGCATGCTAACATGCTCACTGTGACCACATAAACATGCTGATGCTAAGCAGATGTAATGTTTTACGATCATAGAGTAGCATGTTAGCATGCTAACATTTGCAGATATTTGGTCAGAAACTAAAGAACTGATGAACTTCAGATTTTGACCTGTAATATAAAGTAATAAAGTATTAATTCATCCTGAGGGGGACTTAAATATCTGTACCAAATTTTATGGCAAGTCATCAAAGTTAATTCACTCATAACCACAAATGTCAACTTCATGGTGGCGTCATTACAATTCATCCTCCAGGGCACATTGCTTTCCATAGAGTGTCTGACAATGAGATATACATCATGTATTAGAGACAAAAAAACGACCCAGTCTGTTGTGTGACATTCAATGAAATGACTTCCATGTGTTTATTTCCAAATCCTCACTTAAGGCATTTATGAGACACTGCATAAAGACAAAAACGGACACTTGGGGGATGTCAGTACTAATCAATGCTCCATCGTGTCATGGCAAGTTGGCAACCTGAAAAAATATCTCACTTGCATATAATAGTAATTCATAAAGAGCATCAAATCAAATCACAGTCCCTATTATTTTCCCTTGGGAGCTAAATGACACATCATACACATTCAGAATTAAAAAAAAAGAACAATCTATATATTAAAGTATGCACTTCTAGCAGTGTATTACAGCCACGTTAAAAAAATAAAACAACCATTACACACTCACATGCTTACTAATAGTGTCATCTTTTTCAAGTAAAAAACACGAGAATGGGCTAATTTCACAGTCAAGAGTAAACAGTGATCAAAAGGAACGTGATCGAAAAGACCCGAAATGAACAAATTTAAGTTTATAAATTGAGACATTAATGATATGTAGCAAGTACAAGTTCGAGGGGGAAATATCCTTTTGAACATGCTCGTTTACAATTTGTTTCTCCTGTATCACATGTAAGACACATCGACCAACGTTTCCCTTTGACAACGTAAACCATCCGAATGCAGCTGTGTGTGTATGATTGTGCTTTTTCTTTGACCATACAACCAAGTGAAGACTGACGAGGGCCTCTTAAAACTCTTGTGCATGCAAGTTTAGTGTTAAAATAACCAGAAATTATTGTTTTTAAAATCACATTTTATAATCCTGAGGGGGTTTGGCAAAAATGACAATGCAGTTCAAGACACAGGAGAATATTTTGTTAGGTTTGCACAACCGAGTTTCTCAGTATAGTTTATGGAGGGTAGAACAAGTCCAGTATTGTTAAATAGCACTTTGCTAGTAGTACATACATTAGTGAATTAATCTGAAGGCATGCCGTTACCAGAGCCTGTGCCCCAATGCAAACAAAGCACAATATTGGCCCTTACAAGGACCCATCTTTACTTAAAGCTGCACTGTGTGGTTAAATAACCTCATAAAGGAAACAAAATGTAAGTCAGGATCATGTTTCAGTAACATTCAAGTTATTTCATTTGAGTTTTGGTACAAAATAAAAACGTTTGATCCTAAAATCATGATCAGAGTCCTGCATCGGGTCAGGTGTCCGGCAGGTGACCTGTAAGAAAGCTGATTCACAGGTGGTATTTTGTCTTTATTCTATATACAGGTTTGGTTCATGATGAAAAAAAGAACATGTGGGTTGGGTCACGACTGTTGGATGATAAATATGTTAAAATATATCAAAATAAAATCAGACAGATACTGGTTTAAATCACTAGGGTCATTAATTTTGTTGAGGAACCTCCTGAATGTCTGGGCGTTAAGCTGTGAGACAAAAAAAAGTGAGCGCACATTAGGTGTATGTCATATCATCTCATTCACAATACTGGCACATTTTTTAATATCATATGAAAAATTCAAAGCGTGATGCTCGTGATATTTTGACTTGTTGACATATTGTCACGGCAACAACAAGCACGGCTGAGAGCGACATTATTACAGACTCCACAGTGGTCCCAAAGAGGAGCAGCTTCAGTAGTGTGGAATTAACTGTGGTGTTCTGAATGTTTTATGAACAGCCCCGGACTTCTCAGACACTTTCAGTGACTTAGCGCTCAGAGGGAACTCAGTCAGCGGCTCCTCTGACAGCAGCACAGTGTCTCTCCCTCTCCTCTCCCGCTGTGAGCACATGGGAATTGGTGTCGTAAAGTGACGTTGTAACATGAACCTGCTTTATTTTATATTTTTTTACCGGTTTAAATCATCGGGTCCGTTTGTTTTGGAGGAGAAGACACCTCTGTGGGTAATTCCGCTCCTGATAAAAACTCCTGGACAAAGAAAATTCCAACCAGGTTAAGCGTTGCAATCTGCAATCCTCAGTGCTAGACACAAACATGGAACCTTTAAAATCTATTATCTTAGTTTCACATGTATCAAATCCCCCAAAATGATCACTTGAAACATGCTGCCTAACCGACTCATTTGAACAGCGTATGGTTATTATAGGATTTACGGTTTCAAGTTGGACCATGGATCTGTGAGGGTGACAGGGCGGTTGCAGCTCTGCAAGTCGAGGTTCCACTTCGGGAGTGGTTCTTGAAAATCAGACCCGTGCAGGACTCTGCATGTGATGCTAACAACTTTGATAAAAATAGGAATTGCCCTTATTAAAAACAAAACAAAAAATAACGTATATAAACGACACAGTGCAGCTCAACAGTTCAGGCAGAAATGTGCACGTGTTGAGAAGTTTTTAAAGTCCTGTCCTTGAATAAAGAACCAGATATGTATTGTAATAGCAGAGGGAAGTGTTAGCCTAGTGTGATATAACATACAGATTAAGACAGTCAAAGGACATTTGTCTTGACACAAAGTAGAAGACAAACTCTGAACAGACACCTTATTAATCCAAAAAAGGGATCAAAATATACAGAACTGTGTTTTATAATTGTGCGAGATTCTACAAATAAACGATTAGCAGCCTCTGAAGACATCTGACAAAACACTAACAGACCGACACACACTAAAACAATATAAAGGCTCTGTGAAAAACAAAAAACAAGTTGCTGGTAGCTTAGTTTTGCTGAGTTATATTTTATACAATCTCAAGTTTGTAGCACGAGTGTATTGTCTGACCTCCCTCCCTGGACATATACTGCATATCAACACCTGGTTCTTTCCTGTGAGCTGGAACGCCAGCTCCCATCCCTTTCCTTCCTCCCTCTTGTTCATCACTGCCAGTCATAGGAACTTTGACCCAGCCGTCTGTGGCCAGGCCGTGTTTCTTCTGGTGTCTCTTGTAATTGTCCCAGTGGCCGGTGGTGTAGCCACACTCCTGGCATTTGTACGGCTTCTCTCCCGTGTGCCGGAGCATGTGCCGCTTCAGGTTCATGCTCTGGTTGCAGCTATAACTGCACACGGCACACTGGAAGGGCTTTGCGCCTGAGTGCACCCGCTGGTGGCGCTTCAGGTTGGCCAGGTTCCCGCAGGCGTAATCGCACAAATGGCACTTGTAAGGTTTCTCACCCGTGTGCACTCTGTGGTGGCGCTTGAGGTTGTCGAAGTGCGCTGAGGCATAGTCGCACTGTGGGCACTTATAGGGTTTTTCGCCGCTGTGAGTTTTCATGTGGCGTGCCAAGTGGTTTGGGTAGTGTGTGAGGAAAGGGCAGGCGGCGCAGGTGTACACCTTGTCACTGCGCTCGCCGGGGCTGTTGGGAGACGATGACGAGTCTTTAGTCAGCATTTCAAGGGTACACTTGGCACAAATCTGGGCCGAGGAGCCGTCCTCATCCTCCAGGACGATGCCACACAACCGGCAGGTGAAAGGGAAAAGTGAAGGTGGGAGGGCTGCACCATCTGCTACGCCCCCTCTGCTCGCCCTGCTGCTGCCACTCCCTGTGGTGTCCATCAGGGGTGGAGGCTGGTGGCCAGGAGCTGGGTTAGAGGCTGGTATAGGTGGTGGTGACGCCCCCTTTAAGCCATCGAAGGCCGATAGGTAGTCATTATTCTGGGCTCCCAAACTCAGGTTTGATGTCGGCCTCGCAACTTCTGAAACTTCACAAACAGATGAGAGTGAGTTATTAAATGACTGATCAGAGCTATCGAAAGATGCATCATGTTTCAAGACTGTGTATCATGAGTAGGGACGTAAAGAGAGCCGATACTTCAGTATCAGGTCAGGGTTTCCTACACATTCATTCATTTGTGGCGGCCTGCCACGATTAAAACATCTACTGCCATGTTTTGATTTTCTATTTCTGGAGCTGGACCGCTCTTTAGTAGCACTGTTTATTTATATATATATGCACATATACCGTTCAGTTATTAATTGCTCCACTCTTTAGCCTACTCTGCTCAGACAGAGCAACAGAAGGGCAAGAGCAGTGAAAGTTAAGTATCCACCTTGCAACTTAAAACTCCACAAACTGCTGCTGAGGAAAAAAAGAAGTCCTAAAGAGTTCCTCCTGTGCTGCATTCACGGACCTGCAAATACCTCTGAATTTAGAGAGGAGACACAGACAGATACACAATGACACACAGGTACGAAAACAAATAAAAACTGAAAGTTAACGAGGAACGAGCATCTCCAGTATTGCAGGTACCATGGTTGCAGTTCTTCCAGACCTGATGGAACCGCATATACGTCTACAAGTTTTATAGTTTGCTGTCAAATGCCTAATAAAGAAGAATGCCTACCAGGACGGAACGACAACGACAACATGAGAGACTGTGACAAGTTTAGCTGCAGCAATGGCTTCAACTTGACTCGATGAAAAGAGAAAGGTTTATTGCTGAGGCTGGCATATTATTTTAATGCTTAGCGCATTGGGAGCGCTGTGTATTTACACTCTGCTGCGTTGTACCCAAGTTTTTCTGTAGTTTGTTTAAAACGCTGCGCTCATTGTTACTACTTTTCACTAGGGATGGATATCTTAAGTAACTTGATTATTAGATTAAATTATCATAGAGTACTCACAAAAAAAATCTAAAGCAAGAATAAGATTGTAAACTGGCTAACAGCAAGAAACAAGTGCGATTTGAACTTCATTTATTTAACAAACAGGCTTCAATTAGCCTATGAAGTCCAAGCTAACACACACACACACAAAAAAAAAAAAATCAGCAAACTTTCTGTTGCTGCCTTTAACGTTCCACGGGTTCAACACAGCACCAAAGGACCATCTCCAAGTTGCTATCCTCCTGCTCAGTTCAATGTCTGCCCGGTTAGCACAAGCTAACATAGGAGCCGCGGCTACCATCCAACACTGAGCCATTTAATAGTTCCAAAAAACTCACATCCACACCCAAACGGCTTGACACATCCCATCAACAACCGTTAGGTAACATTAGTCGCGTGTTAGCCCTGTCACTGTGTGTGTGTGCAAGCGGACTCTCATCAACTGTTCCCCGGTGCGAAGCTCACGCTCCTGCAGCACTAGTGTCATGATAAACAATGAAAGAGAGCGACAGCGGGATGACGAGGCGCCTTGGGTGAAGAAATACACTGAACACAGCTCTGCCAAGAGATTTTACCCATTTTAAATAGTTCAAAAAATATATAAAAGTCACATTCACATGTGGAAGGTAGGACGGCGATTGCTCTATGTGTTGAATGAATACCGACATCCCAACAGGTACTCAAATACCTATGCCCATCACTACATTTTACCCAGTCGTCCAATCACAGTGGAGGAGGGCAAATGGCCTACCTTGCCTTGCTTTGCATTTCAGGTGGATCATCAGGGATTAACAGTAAAACCTAAATTAAATTTAATTTAAATGTTCTTAATATAAAAGTGTTCATTTAAGCACACAAGATTAACTGTTTTGTTTTTGTTTTTTTACTGCGGTTTCAAATTGGGTATCGAGAATCATGGAATTTTACTGATGATGGTACGACTGCTCAACTTCTGGTTTTGTGACATGACTAACATGATGAGCCGTGATATTAAAAAAGTTTTAAAAGGTAGTTGAGGAGATGATGAAGTACTTAATAAAGGAAATGACACATACCCTTGGCTGAAGTACCAGACACTTCTTCATCGGGTCGTTGCACTGGCACATGCCTCTTCAGGCTGTTTTGGCCAATGGCAGGTCGTGGCAGGGCATCCTGTCCCACCCCTGCAGAGGGCACATGCATACGCTGATGCCTCTTGAGATTGCCAAGGGAACTGCAGGCAAAAGTGCAGATGTCACATTTGTAAGGTTTTTCCCCGGTGTGAATGCGCAGGTGTCTCTGCAGGTTCACCAGCTGGGCTGAGGCGTAAGTGCACAAGGGGCAGTTAAAGGGCTTCTCCCCGTTGTGAGTCTTCATGTGACGCTTCACATGGTTGGCGTAACGGGAGGAGAAGCCACAGAGGTGGCACGAGTGCAGTTTGGCCAACTTGTCCTCAGCTGTCAGTGCTTTGTCACCCATCCCGTTTCCCACCCCTTCGCCGTCGAGCGGCAGGTGGGAACCCGAGCGCATCCCACTGATGCTTCCAAAAGGTGAACAGAAGTCCGTACTTTTGGCTTCCCTGGAGGCTTTGCAGCACCTAAGGCAGTATGGACCAACCAGGTCTATGCCAGGTCCCAGAGGTTCATCACGGAGCTGTCCGCAGCCCCTGCAGGACAGGTAGGGAGGAAAACTGGGTTCAGACTGGGCAGCTCTGCCCTCGTCTTCCCGTCCGTTGTCAGTTGTGCTGTGTGAGTTGTCTGTTTCACTTTCCATGCTGAGCTGGCTGTAGGCAGGGCTCTCCTCATCACCCAGAGGATACACAGAGAAACCGATCTCAGCAGCTACTTCTGGACAGGGGAGACAAACAGAAAAACAGGCTTTAAACGCTGCACGTTTTCAGAGCAAAGTCCTTCACAATCCATTCTAAAAATGGTAACAGACCTTGAAAACTTGGAAGCCCATGTCTTTATTGCCATTTATAAAATCTACCACATTTCATTCCAAAGTTTACATGTTCAACTGTCCTTTTTCTGTGCCTTCATCTGGAATGGCTTATTCTGCATATACAGCCTTCTTTTGATGAGGTAATTTCGCAGAGATAAAGACAGACCTTGGGTGGTATCACAGTGTTCCAGGGTATTAAGAAATCCAAGCAGTATGATTTTCAGTATCGTCAAAATTACAGACAATTGTCTATTAAACCCATACGGAAATGCTGTATTGAGGATAAATGTATGTAGTGCATATTATACGCCACCAGAGGTCAGTCTCTACAGGTGAACCAGGCAGCTGAGCTGGCAGACTGAGGACAAGTCGTGAGGATAATGTTAAAGGACTAAGTTGGCAGAAATACCACAATTATAACAGATGCGGACACAGGCTGGAGACATGTGATTGGCTGAGGTGTGGTTTAATGACAACACCACTGAAAAACTTAAAAAATAAAATAATAATAATAATAATAATAATAAAAATAATGAAATAGTAATAGGTGAAATGATAGTTATAATCACATAAAAATAAACTCCAGACATTCTGGACTTCCATACAAATAAACTTCTGTCAGACTGACACCTGACGGCACATGTCCAATTAAACAGTATCTTGTAATCAATCTCACCGAATGATTCAAAACTAGTGATGTATACAGAGAAAATTTGTACCAGTTTGTGACTAGTCAGTACCGAAATATCAATAGGCTCCTGGACAAATGGTGTTGCTATTGGTATTTATGCAATGTTAATTCATTCTAACATAGCTGGCATTTGAAATTCCTAACCTGCCCCTGATAATAACACAGCTGCAGGCATCAGGCGATTATGTTTGACGTGGTGTAACTGTGTGTTTACACTCTGTGCTCTCCAGTCATGGCTGACAGGGCAAAACATTCAAGAGAGTGGGCTCACTTTATGAGCGTTATATTTTACTTATTTTCTATTTCTGTTCGCTTCTAAGAAGATCAAGGACGACAGTTCTTTGGTCATTTTAATGTTGTTGAAGTTCAGCTTGTAGTAGTGAAGCAGGATTCAACGTAAACATGCAGGATTTTCCTACAAACAACGTGTACACTCATATAGAAGTAATCCCTCTCATAGACTGGCCTTTATTGAAGAGAAGCTGCTAACACAGTTCAGCTAATTCATTTATACTACATTTCATTTCCTATTGATTCTTCACAATAAAAGTCCCCCGTGATTTTGTTATGTATAAACTTTTATTGTGAAGCACCAAAATAAGGAAATGTTGAGTTTTCAAGTTGCAACTTCACACAACTTTTAATACGGCAGATAGAGGATAGAGTCTCACAACACACACGCTTGTTCGGGGGGGGGGGGAGAACGGGGGTTGACGGGAATTGGCTGCAATCAGCAAGACGTCACTGCTACCCACTTGAGGGTGGGTGGCCCGGCTTTTGGACCTACTCCTGAGAAGGTCCATCTCCAGTGCGGCTTGGTGTGGCACAGTGCGTCTAAACTGACAATGGAAACACAAATCGGCGCAGCACAGCTTTACTCAGCGTGGCCAAGAGTGACAACGGACAGACTTCTGTCTGCATTTTCTTATTTTCTTCTTAGTTTTTGTGTTCGCTAAGGTGAGGTTGGCTTTATAAAATGATAGCAAACAGGTGCCAAACCGTAAGCACCTTTAAGTCACATCACTACGAGACATCTGTTGACCGGACATTTGTGGCAATTGCTCCTCCCTCATTATATATACAGCAAACAATTACACTTATTTCTGCAAAGACGTAATAAACAAGTAACTGTTGAATCTTTTCACATCTTTTCATGGCAAGTCGTAGTTTTGCACCAAATTCTGCAGCATCAGTATCGATATTGGTGTTTGTAAAATCCTAACAATACTCATCAATGCTCAAAACTGTCTTACAAATAAAGAAAACAACCAGTTAAACTTAGTTGTTGCAGATAATTTCCCTCAACTTCCATCACACTGAGTATAATAACTGCAGCACAGACAGAATCTCTCATCTCTGCAAAAAAAGTAAGAAAACTGAATTTCAGAGAAACAGTTTATACTCACGGCGCTACCTGCAAGGTCAACTGCGTTTGAGCTGTTGTTATGCCATCTGCGCTTTTCAGACAACAAAAAGACAAAAGAAAAGAGGCACTATTCCCAGAGGGTCGGAGGAAAAAGCTTCAAGATGTGAAGACGGAGAACTCCTCTGCTTCAGTTCTGAGAGCAAACACGCCAGAAGAAAACCACCTTCCTTCACAGATGCCGAGGCAGGAAGTGAGGAAGGCGAGAGTGGAGACTGCCCTTTTATCCTGCCCTGTGGAAACCCCTCGTGGATGATTACTGAGCCTAATGATAATGATGATGACTATAATGGTGAGGCTGCTGCTGCTGATGATGATGATAATGATGATGATGATGAGGGTAGATGATGATGATGATGATGATGATGACGGGGAAACGATAATGGCAGTGGGGGTAGTGGGAGCAGAGGCAGCAGCGGATGATGATGATGATGATGATGATGATGATGATGAATAAATGCCCTCTTATAATGGTGTCCTTGATGGTAATGGTCCTATTTTTATGACCCTTATATAATAATGGTGTCTCAGCCCCTTTCTCTACTTTTCCATTTTTCAGATCATTCTCTCTGACAAAGAGTCATGCTGGGAAATATGAGCTGGTCGTTCCATTTCTCTTACTGTCGCACACAGAGGCTACGCTTCATCACTGGCAAACAAACTGTTAGAGTCCTCTTTGTGCTGCGGCCACTTCGCAAATGAAGCCACCGCCTCCATTAGCGGTAAAGCCATTCGAAGAATTTACATACCAGATTCATTACATGTTTTCATAGTAATGACAGGAAGTGAAAATGAGGGCTTATACACAAGACATAATGATGCTGCTGTCCTTTCACCGCAGCAAGTGTAGCTCAAACTGCAGAGTCAATTGAAATGTACTGTAATGATCAGGCTGTGTGATCCTTATTGTTTAATCAAAAAAGACATTTGCCATTTATGATATAGGATGCAAGGACATATACTGATACAGAACACTTACACACAAGTGGGAAGGTGAATGTGCAACAACTGAAAACAGTGATGAAGTTAGATGGTCTTATATGTGAATGGACAGATTCAGCACAAAGACAGACAGCTGACAAGTGGATATCAGAAGCACACGCCATCTTTAAAAGCTATAATCCTTAAAATTTCAATAAAATCAACCCCTATTTTTGATGCTATTCATGGTCAGCATTTTTTTCTGCAATGATTCAAAGTATTTATATTCTATAATTACATCTCTACGTAGCAGTTTTCATTGTCAGCGGAGTACACAGTTTCCACATTGGATTCAAATTGCCAACGTACACACATGGGATTACCAGGAAATAAACCAGCAGATAATCCAGTGTTAATGTTTGTAATTTCATCCACCTGCTATCTGCCTCACTGCTCACTGCACTATTGCTGTGCTAAGGCTAATGCTATTGCTAAGGTAGTAAGTGTTAATGTAAACATAACATTTCCCGCTGTGGCTGTTTCATATTAAAAGCCTGCAGACATGATTGCAGTGAGCCAGCATCCCCTCGAAAAATATAGTCAAACTAGCCTGTATGTTGTTTTGCTGTGTGTATATATACCAAGCATTACGGTAATATAGTGTGAGAATGTTTATCAAAATAAAAGCAACATTCTGGTGAGCAGCTTTAATTTTGAAATTCCACATCACAATGTCCTGTTACTGTCTGAGTGATACTTTAAGGTGGTCTGCTGTCATTCTGAAGTAAAATTGGTCTGTGGAAACAAGATGTTTCCTTTAAATATCAATCTGAATTTAGACGGACCATAGCTCATATGTGAAATTTTAGAGGGCTTTAATTTTGAAATTCCACATCAGACTGTCCCGATACACTCTGAGGTGGTCTGCGGACATTCTTAAATACAACTGGTCTGTAGTTGTTTCCTTTAAATATCAATCTGAATTTAGAGGGACCATGTGAAATTTTAGAGGGCTTTAATTTTGAAATTACACATCACAATGTCCTGATAGTGTCTGAGTGATACTTTAAGGTGGTCTGCTGTCATTCTGAAGTAAAATTGGTTTGTGGAAACAAGGAAAATATAAAAGAAGGAACAGTCACGATGACAGATTGTCTTTTGTCCTATCTGCTATCGCTTATCTTAACAAATATTGGCCCTTAATGTCCGTGATTTACCCCTGACAGCGTGTGATACTGGATAGTGTGTGTTATGCATTTGTCCTGTCTGTTTTGTTGTACTCATGACCACTGTCTGCATCTCAAATTGCCCCTCAGGAACATTTAAGTTGACCTGCCCTTACCTTACCTTGCAGTGACAGCATTCGAGGAGCCAGACTATGGTGTCAGTTCTACTGGAGTCAATGGGGCGGACACTAGGGGTGGGAATCTTTGGGCACCTCACGATTCGATTACGATTCAGGGGCTACGATTCGATTATAAAACGATTATTGATGCATCTTTAATTTATGTATATTGATGCACTTTTTCACAACACACATTTCTTTTTGTCTCACTGAATAAGCATTCAACACTTGCAATTTTTAAAAACAGTGCATTTGTAATAAGAAACAGTTGAATTCATTTCCATTATATTTTATTAAACATATAAATGGAAATGCGTGCAAACTGGAAAGTTACAACTTCATTGTACGGAACCAAAGGTAACAACAGGTATCTTAAATCACAAGATAAAATGCACAGTTAGAGTAACAAATGATTCAGTGGCGACAGACGTCCATGCATCACATGTAACTGCGATCCTACCTGCCTTCAACAGTGAGGCCATGACTTCTGTTTTGGTTTGGTTGTAGAGTGTCGGTGAAATAGTGTCGGGATGGGATGGTGTATCTGGGCTCCAGTGTATGCAGCAGTGCTCGAAATCCCTGATTTTCCACGACAGAATAAGGACGCAAATCCTTGGCAATAAATGCCGCGATGGCCTTCGTAATTCGCTTCACCTTTTCCGATGAGGGTAGCAGCTTTCTAATTGCTTCCTCGATTGTTCTCTGGTCGGTAGCGCCACTAGTTGCTGCAGCAACAACAGCCTGCTGTCTCCCTGACTCCTCCGTCAGGTGGAATCGAGTTACATGGCTTCTCATGTTTGTTGTGTTGCCAAAGTATTTTATTTTAGCACGACACAGCTTACACATAACGTGGCTCTTGTCCAGTTCGCTTCCGCCGTCAACGTTGTAGAAGCCAAAGTATTTCCACACATCTGCTTTTAAATTAGAAGAAGCTGTTCAGCTCTCACGACGAGGTGGGTAGCGGTCAGCCATGTTTGTTTTCCTCTGTGCGCGTGTCGGCGTGTCTGCTCCAGATGCGCACCCCAAAGTGTCCCGGAGATGACACGTACCGCGCTTCTTAGTTCTGCATTATTTAGAACCTTCTGTATTACTCTAATTAACAGATTTAAATAATCGAAATTTGGACGTTTGTGAATCGATTCAGATTCGTCCACGTCCGAATCGCGATGCATCTAAGAATCTGAAATTTCCCCCACCCCTAGCGGACACTGCAAATCACACTATAACCCATATCATATGTAAGTTGTTTTAACTTTGCCTGAAAAATCCTCCCACCAGATTAAAAAACACACATTAATCCATCACTTCGGAGAATCTCTTTTAAAGAAGAATAGGATTTGCTTGAGACTGTCAGAGTTAGAAGATATATTGTTACAGCCAGGTCTTCCAAAGGTGTAATTATGAAGTTTTATACGCAGTTGATTCATTCTGACTCGTCTGTGTATGATTTCCTGAAGCTCAAACCATTGTCTTAAATGTAAAGCACACAAAGGTACATTTTTCATGTGTTCTGCTCATTGACTCCTTTGTTCTACTTGTTGCACCATATTTTGGACAGTTTCTTTGACAAGAATGTCAAATCTTTGTTAACAATTCTTTTATACTTGGCTAAAATGTGCATCTAACCACAGGTCCACACGGTTGATATGTGGTTATCATAGATATCAGCTGTGCTTCCTCTGGGGAAACTGACTTATGATCTCCATAATAAATCGGATGGTTAGTGACATTTTTTATCTAAATAAACAAATTTGTTTTCCTTGTTATTGATCTCCAAACACATAATCCAAACAGCAACTGCATCTCAGCCTCTGCTGGACGGAGACGTGATCTGTTTAGAGACCAATAACCAGCAAAACACACACGCACAAAAAATGTCGGTCAGCATCATGTAATGTGTTCATTTTAATCCAGTGGAAGGATTCCTCAGTCAAAGTTGAAACAGCAAAGATATGATGGGTTAAAGTGTGATTTTCCATGTCCGCCCCATTGACTCCAATAGAACTGACACCAAAGTCTGGCTCCTCAAAAGCTGTCACCGTCGTCATGACCGTTCCTTCTTTTATATTTTCCTTGTGTAGAAACAGGATGTTTCATCTTCCTATCAATCTGAATTTAGAGAGAACATAGCTCGTATATATGAAATTTTAAAAGGGCTTTAATTTTTAATTCCAGTTCAGAACATCCTGATACCATCTGAGTGACACTCTGAGGTGATCTGCTGTCATTGTGAATTGAAAGAAATCTGTGGAAACAGGATGTTTCCTTTTGATTCTTATCTGAATTCAGAGGGCACCTGCTCTACCACGGTGGCTTAGTGGTAGAGCAGACGCCCCATGTACAAGGCTGTTGCCGCAGCGGCCTGGGTTCGAATCCAACCTGTGGCCCTTTGCTGCATGTCATTCCCTCTCTCTCCCCCTTTCATGCTTACCTGTCCTGTCCATTAAAGGCAAAATGGCCGAAAAATATCTTTAAAAAAAAAAAAAGAATGTCCTGATACTGTCTGAATTACATGCTGAGGTGGTCTGCTATCATTTTGAAGTGAAATTGGTCTCAATGACACCGTGAGGTGGTGTGCTGTCAATCTGAAGTCAGACTGGTCTTTGGAAATGTATTCTTTATTCTTAAGTTTGAGTAATTATTCACACAATTAAATGACAAAACCTTGCTTTTTTAAAGCCTCAATGTTTCTCTGAAATATTATTATATTATTATTATTATTCATTTTATTTACTATTTATCTTTATTTAATGTGTTTTGTTTATTCATGTATTAAATTATTATTGATAGACTGACTAAACTATTGAATGAATGTGAAACTGCCTTTCTCGTTCAAAGTAATGTTGCTTTTATTTTGAAAATCACTTCTTACACACTCTTATCTTAACGCTTAGTATATAAATGTACCACATGAAAGTGTGGGGGCTCGTTTGACCGTGTTTTTCAAAGTGGAGGCTGGCTGACCATAGTGGGAAATGTGTGTTGGCTTTTATTGTGAAGCAATCACAGGAAACGCACACCGTCACAAGGTCAGCAGTAGGTCTGCTCCATTTCAGTGCACTGGTGCAACGCTTAATATGTCATGGCGAGGGCTGGGAAAAGTGTTTTAATGGAGTGTAAGAGTCAGCCAGCGGCAGCAACCACATAACTGTCAGCTGACAAAGCAACAATGTCAGCCTACAGGGCAAAAGTCATGATAGCTTTCCTGGTTGATAAATACTCGCCTACATGGACAGTAATGTTCACAACATGACTTTCTGTAAGCATGAATGACATTCAACAGTTCTCTGGCTTATCAATCTCTCTTGGTTTGTTTGTGTTTGTATGAACCATGTGGTTGTGGTGATGTATACGCTGCTGTCGCTGCAATCCAGCGTGATAATAGTGCGGACCAACTGACGATCTTCCAAAATGAGCGTGCAAAACAAGATTGTAATTTTTTTTTGTCTAAATCAGACATGAGTTTGTTTGGCTGTGCTGTCAACAGATGTCAGTTTCTCTCCTGTTGTATTTCTGACACAGCAGTGGCTCAAGCACTTGCTGTTACCATGGTAACCATGGGTGTTGCCAATTCAACTAGGACTGAAATCTTATGGATAAACTTAAATCACTTAATTATATATATATATATATATATATAAAAAGTTTACAAACCTGAGAACTTTTCCAGGCCTAGAATCTTGTTATCATGATCTGGATCACCAAACTCAAGGTCTTGTCCGAGAAGGAAGTCTGTGTCTAAGGTGAGGTTTCCTGGAGCTTCAATGGCTACACCATCTTCAGAATCCACTGCAGTCACAGAAAAGAATCAAATCAACATTTGATGACTACTGTCTTTTCACTGAGGGGCCTGTTTTAATACATCTGCATAAATATTACCCTGTCATTGGCAAACCCTCAAGGTACCAACACATAAAGCAGAAAGCAACATTTCTGAAAAAGAAAATACACACCCCTGAAGCTGCTCGAGTTTCACCCTGTCAACTAGACTCATTGTCAGCCTGATGGAGAAATCATATCAGCAAATAAATGTTTAATAGTGACAATCACTGTCAAGTTAGCAAAAATGTGTCTTTTACTGTCAATATGGTGAACAGAGAAATAGAAATGTCTCTCGATGTCTTCATCTCAGACACATTATCACAGATGGACTCATTATGAACATTAAAGGAATACTTCATCCTACAAATGATCATTTCTATATCAATTATTCACCTTGTGTTGCACTGAAATTGTGAAGAGCACCTTTTTTTCTCTCACATACCTCCAGTGAACGTAGAATCCAAAAACAGACAAAATTCTTGATGAAATGAAGTCATGGAGAGCTGTGTTTATCAACAGCAAAACTATATCAAAACATCCGTTTACAAACTCTCACACAACTCGTGCAGTATAATCCAAGTCTCAATTATCCAGTCGTATGCTCAGCACTTCCCCAACAGACAGTCTTTTCCTTCAGAGAACCAAACTGACAGTTAAACTCATCTATGCTTCCTTCAAAGCCAGACTCCATCGACAGAAACAGGAATTTTACGTCACTGAACACAGGAGGTGCTGGTCTACCTCTGCTTTGATCTGTAGTTTGTTTGTGTTATTGTGCAACTTTGGTGAATCCGAACTAAACTTTTAAAACACCAAAGTTGCACAATAACGCAAACAAACTAACTGATGAAGGCAGAGCTAGACCAGCAGCTCCTGTGTTCAGTGAGGTTAAATTACTGTTTTTGTCAGTGGAGTCTGGCTTTGAAGAGAGCATAGATTAGGTTTTACTTTAGTTTCAGTTCACCGTTGGAAAGGGCTGTCTGTTTGGGAAGCACTTAACATACAACTGAAAAAATGAGACTTGGATTATACTGCACGAGTTGAGTGGGTGTTAGTAAACAGATGTTTTGATATAGTTTTGCTGTCGTAAAATGCCGTCACCTATGAATTTAATTCATCAAGAATTTCTCCATGTTTGGATTCTTCATTCACTGTGGAGACATGAAAGAAGAAAAAAGTTTCCTTTACATATTCAGCATAACACAGGGTGAGTATTCTGATATACAAATGATCATTTGGAGGGTGAAATATTTCTTTAAG